GTATTATAATTCTATATTTACTAAATAAACGATTTATATATTAAATATATAGGTTGGTTAGTAGTCTTGAATTTTTTCAAAATTCAGAATAAACCAGTAACGCCATTTGTTGCAGACAGGTTAGAGCAAGTATATGCACACCTAAATTCGGGTCGTCAAGCACCTCCAAAATCAAATGAAATGATTGATCTTTGTCAAACGTATCAATATGATATATTATCATACGATGTAATTTTTAAGGAAGTTTTTCAACTAGCATATGAAAAATTTAATAAGCACGTTAATAATCATTCTGCACTTCAACTTTTTAAAGCAATTCGTTGCTTTGATCCCCATTATATGCAAGCACAAACTGACCGACACAATATTACATCATATAAATTAATTAAGGAATTAGAAAATCCACCAAACGACCTTATTACTGAATGGGCAATTTATTCTGGGTTATCAGAAATATTTAGTGAAAGCTTTGATTTGGATAGTTATTGGCGTGAGAAGATGATTTTGTTACCAAATATTAGTAAAATCGCATTAGAATATATTTGGTTACCGGTTTCAGGAGTAGATGTTGAGCGTAGCTTTTCAGCCTATAAACGAATTTTAACAGATAATAGACATGCTTTGTTAGAAGATTCAATTAGAATGTTAAATTTTTTAAATTTTAATAAATAAATATTCCTTTGAGGGAAGGCTTAAAAATCGCATCTTCGATTTAAGATCGCATCCTCTATTTAATTATTTCACATAATTTTAAAATTATTTTGCATCCATCGCATAATTGACCCTGATCGATCGCATAATTTACTCTATTGCATCGCATAATCCTGGACACCCTACCCAACCCTACGTAGATCACGTTAGGATATGAAAAGGGTGAAACTCGCGTTTTTTAGGTTACTTTCTTGATGCAGATCTATTTTTAATTAGGGTTAGATATCATTTAGATAGTGATGTGCATCAATAATGTAACTACCTCCGACGCAAAAGCGAATTTCACGCTCATGTGGGCTAGGTGCTGCAAAAAGGGACGAAATTGACAAAAAAAAAGATTTTTGGAAAATCAATTTTTATATTATAAATCTTATAATAAATTATAAGAAAATGCAAACTTTAAAGAGCTATACTACAAAATTTTATTAATATAACTACTTTTGTGTCTTAAGTAAAAAATGACCCTAATCTTATTCTAAATCAATTTATGTAAAAAAAATTCTTTTGAAAAAATTGTCAATTTCATCCTTTTTTGCAGCACCTAGCCCATGTGATCTACGTAGCGAATTCACCCTATCGTATAATAATTCTTTATTTTTATTACTGTACTATGTTCTTTCTTATACCCTTTTTAATATACGTTTTGCGTTTATTATATTTTATTTTCGTGTTTCGTTTTTATTTATTTCTTTTACTTGCATATCTTCTATATTATGCCGACATGAAGCTCGATGCGACTTTCAAGAAATTCGAACAGAAAAATGGGTAAAAGGTTCATATTGTTTTGGGGTGAGTAAGATAGTTAAAAAAGGAATTGGAAGCGCATCGTGGCCACAGTTTGCCAAAGTCACCAGGCATATGGTAGACGGCCTACTGTGAACGTCCTTCCTTTTCTAACTAACTGAAAGCTTCCTTATGTGAAAAGTTAACGGAGCCATAGGTGAAAATTTTCACCCCGTTTTGAAGAAAAAAAAGAGAAAGAAAAGAAGAAGAAAACAAGAAGAAGAAAAAGAGAAAGAGGAGAGGAAAATAAAAAAAGACGATGATAAAGTTGATAACGGAAACGATGACGACAGTAAAGGCGATAGCTCAAGACGGGGGCCTGTAATTTAGACCCTATGAGATCTTCTGAGTAGGGTCTGCTGAGGCCTTCCCTATGATGACAAACATCTTTTGCTTACTGTGGTGTTCTCTTCATACAGTAGGTGTCTAGTGAAATTGTGACGACCTACAAGGATGAAACTGAATTTATACAGTCAACCCCCTCTAAATGCAACTTCTCTAAATGCAATCTCTCTCTAAATGCATGGCTTTGGTTGGGCCCAACTTATATAATACTTATAGATTTTTACCTTTCTAAATGCAAGATTTTTTATTGGCCCTCTGGCCTGCATTTAGAGAGGGTTGACTGTACCAAAGTCATACTTTGCTTATTGGAATATACAGTTAGCTAATTAAAAAAAGGTATCGGAGAAATATTTTATGTTAGCATTAGATATAAAATAAAAGTTTCGTGTAACAAGAATCTAACGTTAATCGAAAAGTTGGGCTACGTAATTACCTAATAAATCTTAGAAAAAAATTTTTTTAACCAAATTAATACAATACGTTATTTATACAATTAACAAAACGTTCCATCAAACCCTGCACCTCTATGTCTGAATTTGTGTACGCGAAGTTACACGAAATCAATCAGTTAAATCATCCGCGCAGTTTGCAAATATTATCATTATCACTAATCATGGTAGCGATTCATGAAATCCTTAAAAAGCGTAAGATCTTTCATTTAGCTTTTAATGTGAATCTAAGGCACGATTTTACTCACGTTGGTTATTGCCCTTAGTTATCATTGAGGCCATAAGAACAGCAAAGGTGCAAGGTGGATGGAAGGTTGTGGTGGTAGATGAACCTGCACAAAAAATTTTAGATTCGGCCTGTAAGACGTTTGACATTCTCGAAGAGAAAGTTACCTGTAAGTTTGCCTTATAATTTATTTTTACGAATGTATAAAGTATTAACTTTTAACACAATATTTAGTGGTAGAGCAGCTCGAGAAAACTCGTCAAACTTATCCTCTTGAGGCTGTATACATTATTACTCCTTTGACAGAATCGATTTCTAAAGTGATTGAGGATTTTACTAAGAATCCACCTTTGTATACTGGAGCGCATGTGTTTCTTACTTCGCGTAGGTTTTTTTCAGGTCTAATTTTTATTATGATGCAAACCTTTTATTGATTTGTCTTTTTTTATTAACGTTCAGCCCCTGAGCGTTCGGACTATGATAGGTTAACGAAATTAATTCCTAAGGACTACTTAAAAGACTATAAAGAGCTTTTTATTGAATTTCATGGTAAATAAGAGCAATCATATTACTTTTTAATGCACAGATATTGTCGGATAATTATCAAATATCGACATTTTCTCGAAGAATATAGATAAAACAAATATTATAACTTAAAAAAAATAAAATAATTCCAAGAAATATATCATAATTTTAACAAAACA